TACTTGACATTCAAAATATAAATATTTTAAACTTATAATACCGGTACTATTGTATTTGCAGAGCTTTTACTTTGCTAAAACGATTGCATATACCTGGCTAGTTGACATTTAACCTTATTTGTACTCTAATGCTAAGCTCACATCTGACAGTGAATTTACAAGTTATAAAATAATTATCTAGTAGATTATCAGCTATTGTCTATGCTTTTAGAGACCACTGTATATTGACTTCATATAAGCTTTTAATAGCATTGATAGAGAAAATGTGGGCTCGATCTCGAAAAGGTCTTCAGTTGCTGAAGGAGTTGAAGAATAAAAGCGAAGACAATCTCACGTCCGATGACAGCCATCACAACACGAGTACCGACTCGTCGTCCTATGACTCTGGTATTGATTCGCCACAAGTGGTCGACCACTCCATCCACAAGTCCATTGTTAACCACAAAAGCAATGCCAATAAATTGAGATCAGTTGAGATCAGGTCAGTGAACGGGCGCTCATATCATACCAACAATAAGGGGGATAGTCTTCCGTGGATCAGTCGTCCCATTAGTGATACCCTTCGCACTCTCGATCACCGCAAAGTTGGACCACAAATGGACGCCAAAAATATAGACAAAAGTTGTCTCAAAGAGTCTGAATCTGATGTGANTAGTCTTCCGTGGATCAGTCGTCCCATTAGTGATACCCTTCGCACTCTCGATCACCGCAAAGTTGGACCACAAATGGACGCCAAAAATATAGACAAAAGTTGTCTCAAAGAGTCTGAATCTGATGTGAAGAATGGAAAGCTTTTTCACGAAATTACACGAGATTTGGATACAGTTATGGATTTGACACCAATTGCTCCAAGAAGTGGACGCATATCGACTAAAATTGCGATCAAAAGAGTGGTAATCAATGATTTCATAAATGAATGATGGCTTAAATGGTGATATTATGTTGAAATGTGTTTAATTTATTGATTTTATTATTATTTGACATCTCATTATGTAATACTATATATGATTTAATTTGAATATACTGCACATTTAATTGTAATTTTTATTAATCTTATTTGAAAATCTTTGCATATTTTATTGTACAATTTAATTACAATGTTTTAATGTTTTAACTAAAACTCTTATCAAATATTACTGTAAAAATAAAACTCAACAAAATTCATAATAAATGATGATTTTGACTTATTTTTTACAATTTATTGCAATTAACTGCTGAGAAATAACTATAGCTATTAAATTAAATTGCATATGCAAAATATTTCAGATTTTATATTCACTATATCCGCAACTCATTACTCAAATTATAAATCAAATGAATTCATTTTTGAAGACTTTATGCATTTTTATTAGTGCCTATAATAAAAGTTTGTATTTAAAAGTTGTTAACATGTTTACACAATGTAATCAAAGGTAGAGTGATTTCTATAATAAGAGCACATCTTATCTGATCCTAAAACCTAAACCCCGACACAGAATGCCTTCAGAGGTCGTCAATCAATAGCTCTTCAGTACTGTATACTATACAGTGTATAGTAGGGGTGAAGCTATCGATGATTCCTCTCAGGCCTCACCATCTATTCCGACGTTATAAGCCTTCAAAGGTGACGATCAATGAGCGAAGGGGACAATCCTCCCAAATATAAGGTGCAAACAATCCCTGAGCCGCGTATTGTCCAACAGCTTCGTGACCCAAACACAGGACGGCCTCACTTTGAACTGATGCGACACTTCAGACCAGAGCCACCACCCAAAGAGTTACCACTTGTGCGGAAAGACATGAAATTTGAGTCTAAACAGAAGGGCTCTGAATTGGCGCTTATGTCTCGCGTCAGTTTGGTTGACACATATGAGGACACAAACCATAGGCTTAAGAGAGACAGAAAAACAAAGTATTTGAGTGATAGACAGTACACAGAGTCAGACGGAAGGTATTACCCGCCCCCACGACCTACTGAATGGCTTAGAAGTAGAAAAGAAAGGGGTCACCCGGTTACTAATTATCAGGGTAATTCAATCATTGGGGATCAAAGGTACGAGCGTCTAGTCAGTGAACAGAGTGATCCACTGTACGAGCCCTGGGAGTACGCGCCCACCGGTCGCCTACAGTCCGGCTGTCGATCGGCATTCCGTCGGTATGTCAGCGCTCCTCACTTGAGTAGTGCCGCCGACCCGTCGCTATGTGACCCCTTCCACGACCGGTATAACCAATTGGATCGACCCTCACAGGAGGCCTACCAGTGCTACCGGTCAGCGGTTGAATGGAATCGGGAACTGAAACAACGGGCAGTTATGCCGCCGACAATCATGAATACCATGGATGCGGATGTGGCCCGAGTCAGTCAATACAAAACGGGTAGTAATACCAGGGGTTGGGATCTCACGGAAAGGAGGCAAAGGTTTGTCGGGCGCTCACAATTGTCCCAAATTCCGGCTCCTTTTCCCGGCTCTTCGCGTAAATTCAATGTTTTGGACCAAACTATACACGAAGAGGAAGAGAAATAGGGGTCAATAGGAATAGTAGTTCACTAATAACGGGCTCATTTAAAGTATGAAGTTTATAAGGTGTTCATTTATTTTATAACTTGAAGTATATTAATGTAATAAACGTATTCATGCAATGAATTGTTAAATAATTCATATGATATTAAATTATAAAACCAATTGAACACAAATATTTTATGAATGATTATATTTATAATTTTAATTTCTACTGTACTATTATAAATATTTAAATTATATTTTTTTGAAAAAATAATTTTCATTAGCAAAACATTTTAAACTTTTTAATGAAACTAAAAGTAGAGACAATTCTATAATAAGAGCACATCTTATTTGATCTCTAAGACCTAAACCCCGACACAGAATGTCTTCAGATAGACGTCCTTACAGAGGCCGCCAATCAATAACCCTCAGACTAGTAGTGGTGGTTCCTCTCAACCCTCAGGTTCTATACCGTTGGGTAGAGGTCTCCAAAGGTCACAATCAATGAGCTCAATGGGCGGTCCCCCCAGATATCCGGTGCAAACCGTCCGCGAGCCGGGTATTGTCCAAAGACTTCGGGATCCAATCACAGGACGGCCTGACTTCGAGCGTATGCGACAATTCAGACCAGAAGTGCCCGAACAGGAGGGGTTCGCAGAAGTGAGGGGTGCTATGAAACCCGAGTCGGCACAGAAGGGTATGGAGTTATCCCTCATGCCTAATGCAAGAGGACTGGAAGGACAGGAATGCTAAACACCGGCGACAGAGACAGTGCTTGAAAGACAGAGAATACAATCAGATGGACGACAGATATCTGCCGCCCCCGCAGCCCAATGAGCCCTTGGAGTACAGCAGTCGGGAGGAAAGGGGTCACCCGGCCTTCGAAGAGCAGCACCTGAGATACGAGCGCGACATCAGTGACCAGAGCGCACCCACAGGCGAGACCTGGGAGTACGCGCCCACCGGTCGCCTACAGTCCGGCTCACGACCGGCTCTGCGTCGGTGGGCCAGCGCTCCCGACTTGAGTAGTAGTAGTGGCGCCGACTCGTCGACGGGCGACCCCTTCCGCGATCGGTATAACCAATTGGATCGGCCCTCGCAAGAGGCTTACCGGTCGGCCGTTGATCGGAATCTGGGCCGACGGGCAGTGTTGCCGCCGACAGCCGTGAATCTCATGGATGCAGATGTCAGGCGAGTCGAGCAATACAGTCACGACCTAAACAAGAGGCCCTGGACTCGGCTGGAAAGAAGGCAGGGATTCCTCGAGCGCTCACAATTACGGCCTACCATTCCCGATGATTTCAAGTCAAATATATTAGGCGAACCCATAGCCGAAAAGAATGAAGAGGAATAGGTCTTGTAATTGACAAATGAGAGCCATTTCCCCCCTCTTTCAAGTTATGATTAGATTGAGATTTGTTTTTAACTTCAAATCAAATCAATGCTCTTCTCATGAATAAAACTCAAGAAATATTTTAACTTAGAGTTAATTACTGTTTAGATACTGAAGACAAGAACAATCATTTCAGTAACCATTTCTATGCAAATATATTTTCAACACAATGTCTGTTGAAAATAATAAGGGTTGCAGTAAATGTCAAAATTAATGGTTGTTATTGTCAGACAAATCGATTTACTTGATTATGGTACTTTTGTTAGTTGATAGATTAAGTATAATTATTTATTGCATGCAATTACCGGTACTTTTAATTATAACTAAAATTAATGACAATATTTCTTAATTATTGTAAAATCGAAACATTAATTAAAAGGACTACCGTGAGAATATTGAAAAATAATGCTCCCTAATCATTCATAAATACAGCATGTCTATTAAATTAAGTTTATATGTACTTAAATAGTAATATCTGTTGTGATGTATATTACAAGAAAATATCATTTTATTAAGCATTTCAATGGCTGAACAACTCAAAGACTGTATTCGGTATAATTATGGTGATCATTATTTGGGCGATAAATATAG